CTTTTTTGCTGTGGAGATGGCTATGTCGATTATAAAAATAATCCACATAGGTTAGTCATATCAAATTTTTCACTCTTGATCTCTCTCCTCGCCGACCGAAGTGACACATATATAAAATTGAGCATAAACACACGGCGAGACTTGTAATTGTGGCCAGATTATGATAGACAATGTTGGTTGGTCACATATTCACTTTAAAAAGTGACCAACGAAAGTATTCAAAATACTAGAGCCAATTTCCGTACCAAAAGAAACTCACATAAAGGTTTCATAAACTTTCCTTGTTAATTCTATTGTATAACATATGTTTAAATGAAGGCTGCCTAAATATATTGTTATATATGATATATATTTCTTTGAACGCAAGGTCCAAGTATATATATATATATATATATATATATATATATTCAAACTTGAACCTTCATGCAAGCAAAAAATGGAATGTCAAAAGGACTGTTTTTCCATTGACACCGCTATTATTTTAACTACCTTCGCTTCTCGACAAAGTTTATTGTTTTGAAAAGCAATGATTAGAATAGTAAAACATACAAATTTTTATTTAACAATACTGACATTGTTTGTCTGTTCTATTTTCTACAGTCACTACAGTGATTATCAAGAATTGTTATTAGAATTGCGTGTTTCGCAAATTCTGCCATTTCTTAGCCTGATGAAACTAATTTCATGTATAGGAGATGAAATCCTATATTTTACGGCCAGTACGTGAAGCAAAAACAAGTAAGAGACGCCTACAAATAAATTCTACTAAATTCAATAAATACGAAATCTTTTTTTTTTTTTAATTCTGTACAAACACGCCTCCAAATTAAATAAGTGGTTTCTGGAACCTGATTGGATATGACAAGTCAAGTGATGTGCTTTCTACGATGTCCGCGCGGTTGAACTCCAAATAACCTGGAAATTGGTCAGGGCTTTGTTTACTGAATACATTCCCACGCAAAACTCATTCGTGGGTTGTGCACCGGCTGTAAAATAGCGAAAAAACGTCTCGCCAGCGACCAGATTTGCAACGACAAAGTCAGTGAAGGACAGACGGAGAAGACGGTCAGCGAACTAGGCCAGTCTCGATCATCAACATAGATACACGTACCAGGATAGTGCGTATGTCAGCTATGATTTTCTACACACAACGCCATGACGAAAGTAAGTCTTGCCTCCCTTCTCTTTGTTCACTGTGTTTTAAAATTACTGCTACCGCACGTAATCGTTCAACAGTCCCATCCATGTGTAATTAGCGTGTACTTTATATACACATATTGGCATTACTTGATTTTCTCACTTGTAACAAAATCACATGGAAATGTGCAGGCTGACTTGTAACAAAATCAATTCAAACATTTTAGACTCATTTCCAACAAAATCAATTCGAACTTTGCAGATACATTTGCAAAAAAAAATTGCTTCGATTTTTGCAGACACACTTACAACAAAATCATTTCGAACAATCGAACTATTGGTGTTTTCATGACTACAACAAAGAACACAGATTTTTAATGAGTAAGTACATGTATCTGACTGCATAACTGTTACTGTCATATTTAGCTTAGTCTTCATCCTTTACTGCGAAGATCATTACTTCGAGTTTACAATTTTGTGTTGTATTTGTGGACACGAAAACTCTTCATTTTTCCTCCTAAAATCCGGATAAACAGACCCCACACATCTCACTTAATGGTGACGACATATACAACGGTCAACCTGAATTTTAACGTGATTTTTAAAAAAATACCCCATATAATGTTGGATATTTCTCTTGTATCACAAAGTTTCCAGAATGTTGAGTCTTTCATTGAATTGAGTTTGATATACTATTTTGGTGTTATCTATTAAAATTTGTCTTATGTTAATATTATTTTGGTTATATGTTGATCTATATGTTCAATAAATTTTGACATATGAGACAAGTCAACCTATGAGTTTGCCAATGTAAGGTTTGTTAATTTTTCCTTGTAGTGTTTGGTGATTATTAATGTGGTGCAGTGAAATGAAATGATACTTGCTGCGTAAATACACCTGATATATATATATATATATATATATATATATATATATATATATAGTTTTAACGTGTGCCATATTTATGGGATAAAGTGCTCAATATCAGAGATAAAGCGTATGTAAATATAAATGTAAAAGTGAACGTTGAAGTCAACGCTCAGAGGTGACAGGTTGTTTCATGCTGGATGCAATCGGCGGCCTGTGTGTGTGTGTGTGTGTCTGTGGTTGTGTGCGTGCGTGTGTGAGTCTGTGTGTGTATTTTACTAACTTTCACGCAATGCAAGATTCGAGAGCCACTCAAGGTGGACAGTGTTTAAATCAGATGCGTCAAATGAAAGAAAGAGGTATTGATGGGAAGTGAACATTATGCGGATAAGGATGACAGATAACGATTGACCATTGACTTGAATATATTAAAATGATTGTATTTGTATTGAATCATCCAAGCTGTAGTTTGTTTAAGAAAGTAGCAGACCTTACGAAAAACCAGTTTGAATGTAACATACTCCTTATATTTGGGATAAGGTCGATATAAGGTCGATTTGACTCTCAGGATGCTGCATTGTTTGTCCTTATTTAAAAGTTTGAACTGGAAAAACTAGCGAATAGATATTTGCTATGAAAATAATGACAGGCTTACGATATTGCGTCTGTTGGAAAGAGGCTAGAGAGTGATGAAAATGTTTTCCCACTCAAGATCGCATAAACAATTTTGAATTCTGCCAACACTGCAAAAAGAAGATTCATCATCTCCATCCCAGACAGGCAGTACTGTACTGATGCGGCATTCACCCTGGGCGGATTGAGCCGGCTTCTTCCTGTTATGAGAAGAAGATTCTTGGGATAAATTACAGAAGTAGGGTACCCAGGCCTACTCGAATAACGTTCTTGCTTGCCGCGGGATTCCCACAGACGCAGAGACAGGAACGACCAGAAGCCGCCGGTTACCGATGCAGACGCTCCTTGGATTTTCACCAGAGCCCTTGTTAGCCGGCGTGTGTGTCAGACCTGTCCGCCTTGGGTGGCCCTACCAGGAACGAAGTTCCGGGCGGCATAGCTCTGACACTACCGTTTACACCCCCCCCACACCGACTGTGAGGTAAGGGTTGGACTTTGGGGGCTTACAGTACCAGGTGTTCCCAAGCGGTCCCCCATCTAAGTACTGACCTGGCTCTACGAAGACATGGCAGTAACACTCCATGTATCTAATCTTGCTCTTGTAAACATGAAGCATGCCAGCAGGTGTAAGGTACTTTTAAGAACGGTATTATGAGTTAACCATTTCACCAGCATCGAGTCTATCTTGGTTTGGTTTAGGTTTGGTTTATTTTATTTTACGGTATATCAACCTCAATGGGTTATTTAATGCCAACAACATTTTAAAGATAGATTCGTATGAATAGAATATGTATTCTTTGGTTTAGATTGGTTTGGTTTATTTTGTTTTACAGCATATCAACCTCAATGGGTTATTTAATGCCGACAATTTTTTTGTTTTTTGCTGGTAATATTTTGTATTGTGAAAAATCTGTTTCTGCTAATATATTTCTTTCAAAATTGCTGGTAATAATTTTTCAAAAATGTATTGCTGGTAATAATTAACCATTCGCCCACAGCTGGGACCCCAACAAGTACCCCCACCCCGAGCCAAGGCAGATCCGGGAACACCAGCAACCAAGGGGCGGCTTCACGCTCCTCAAAACGTCAGCGGCCTTGCAGCCGGATGCATTTTAATGTCCCACCCAGGACGCAGATGTAGCTTAACGTCTTACCCAGGACGAGTCTATTTTGCGTCTTGTATTGGGTTAACAATTGTATAAAATAGATTGCATATATGAGTTATGCATATTAGGTCTGAAGTTAACTTAAGACTTAATAAATGTTCAAAGCATGGAGCTTCATTGTGAATGCAACAGTTCATTGTGATTGGAGAAATCTAGTCTGACGATACTAGCTTGGTTTCTGGGATATTGAAAGTTACAAGCCAGTTATTTCCCCGTTGAGCTGTTATGGTTTGGTCAGTGGACAGATTAGCAGCAAGGCGCTCATCATCTTGTTTTTTGGAAGGGAATAAGTGAGCCCATAAATTTTAGTAATAATCTGAGAATCTTCTTAGGTAGATCATTAGTAAATGTCTAGGGTGAAATAGGGTTTGCGGCTTGTTTCGGGATGGAACTCCGTAGTGATTTCCAGGTCATTCCCTGTTTCTCATGGCGTCGATTTTTTTCTGTTAACCTTATCGAAAACGGATACAAATGTAACTAAATATACCTTGCAGGGTTATGCTACTCTTCCTTCATTCCGGAGTTTAATCTGGCAAGTGCCACGGTATCCCATACCGAAATGTAAGAATCAACAAAGAAAGCCTCAATCAGCACCTCTGAGCCACCCTATTATTTCGTCACAGAAAGAGGGCAATACTCAGGAGGATATATGGATTGATTTCTCAGCTTAAAAAGAAAATGTTCATTCATAATAACCGTCCTGGACCTACCTTAGAGAAAGAAATGTTTGCGTAAATTTTCTAGGAATGCCATAGATGGAAAGTTTGTATAGCAAATCCTTAAGTCACACTTTGATTTTGAGATATGTAAGGAAATCTCATTGGTAACAACTTCATTGTTTTTTAGTTGATGGCAGTTAAAATATCAGCAGTTGTCCTAAAGGAGGAAATCCCTCAGTAAGGATTTTGCTGAGGTGATCAGCTACATCCTTGTTTATTGTTTTTCTACAGTTTATCAACTCATTACAGGTTATTTAAAACCAGAAAATATTTTTAGATTGCAAAGATTTTTTACAGTAAAAAACAATTTATTAATACAAGTCTTAACCCATAGCTAGGGAGGGAAAAGGTAGATTTATACCTTTCCCAATGGTACTTGCGCGTAAGTAAATGTAACGAACCCAAATGAAATTCGAACACGACTCTCTGATTAAAAATTCCGAAATATAATCCATTACACCAGCCGCACATCCGGACTTATAACACCTGGTATTCCCAAGCAGTCGCTCATCTAGGTAGTAAGCAGGCTCGACGTTGCTTAACTTCGGTGACCGTACGAGAACCGGCGTTTAACGTGATGTTGACGTAAGCATCCAGTATCAAAGGGTTAGCTGGGCCTACGGGCTCAGAGATACCCACATTAAAAAGGCCTTGTGCCACATTCGATCCCCGTGGGTGGATTGATAAATACCATCAAAGGGTTAGCTAATCGCACTAAAGAGGTTAATGGGGAAATATTGTGATGGAGATTTCAAGCATTATTTAAACCACTTTGCAAAGTTTGAATATAATTCAGGACTAAGATTCTTAAGTACAACTACAAGTCTTTTGTACACATCAATAGCATTTCATAAACTCTATCTGATGTGTCTGGAAACTTCCAGAGTCGGGGTAGTGAGGTCAGAAATCTTCTAGAGTGGGAATAGTGAGGTCGCAAAGCTAGTACTAACTAGCTAGTGAGAGGAAGGAAATGATGGAGATGATGGTCCTGGTTATCTAGTGTGGTATTTGAGGCAAAGCTCGTATATATTATTATATTATATATATATATATATATATATATATATATATATATATATATATATATATATATATATATATATATATATATATATATTGTGAATTTGGACAGCAACCTTTATTTTATACATTTTCATTGAATATGACAAAAAGAGAATCTCATAAGTTTTTCGAAAATTCTTACTCTTTCCATTTACCAAAAAGCAAATCATCCTTCATTTTTCTTGTTTGTCATATTGAATAAAACATACAGACACAGACACATAAAGTTTTTTGAGGTTTTATATAACCCTGCCGATGACAACGACGTCGCAACCCTAATTAAGAAGAAAGAGAGTTTAGATTCGAAACTGTCATAAATTCATAAGCATACAGTGGCACCACCAATTTGCATAGAGTCTCAGGCAGGTTTAGTCATCCCACTTGCAGTGTTTGCCTGTAACATCCTCCCATATAGGGAGATATACAGTTCACCAGATGCATTGATATTTTTCGATATAAATTATATTCATGTCGATTTTTACTCCTCAAAAAACAATAAAAATAGAAAGGTTGAATTTCTAAAACGAGAAATCTATTAATATATAAAAATGTCCGGGATTATCCCAAGGTACGGCTTAAGAAAAAAGATAACAAACACTGAAAAGAAGAAACATTGACATATGGTTGACTGCTGGCAGTAACCTAATCATAATCTCGAATTCGTTCGCTATTTCCTAACAGTCACTAAATGCATTCACACAAACTAAATTATATTTAATATTCTTTGTTTTTTCTTTCCATGAATATAAATCTTGAGGATCACATGTAAAGAGTTATATTAAAAGCCCTACGGCGATACCTGGTCCTCGTAAAGCATATGCGTTGAGTGAAAACTCTGACAGGGGGCGCCACTGTACCTGACAACTGAAAAATGTCCCACGCCTCCAGCAGAACGGATAAATCAATAGAGAAACGCACAATTTTGACAAGATAAAACACTTTTTAGAGATGCGACGTGGATTTGCGAAGGTGATTTCTCAAGAGTACGAAGCTAGATTATTGTAAATGGGATTTTTACACTTCCTCTTTGGAATTCTTACTGTCTTGTTTGTATACAGCTTTTTCAAGTTTAAAAACCTAATAGTGCAAATGCATTTCCAGTAATTTACATTTTATTGCCAGTTCAGAATTAAACTAATTGATTCCAGTACACGACAAAGGAAATACTAGATTGCATCTTAATAGACAGCAGTTTAAAATATATTTTACCAACAAAATCTGAATTACTTTGATATACCAGTGTCTTTTATAAAGTTTTAAAAGTTTGCCTTTTAGTTATTGTTTTTGAATTTTACAAATAAGACTAACAATTGTTCTTATGACCAAACTTCCTGCTTAGATAACCGTTTATATCATGGGTTGGAAAGAATTATGTAAAAATTTTCATTCATTCTACAGATGTTCTATATAGTAACAGCAATTTCTGGTTGTAGAGAAAATGGAAACAATAGTCACAATTGAATTTCTCAAGCAAAGTGCATTTGAATTCATTTGCAAACTTTGCTGATCGCTGCCCATCGACTTTATTGCTATTCCATCACTTTGAAATAAAAATCTTAAAAGAAAATTGAATAGTCTTTTTTTTTAACTAACGATATTAAATGTTTCTCGATATAAATTGTGACCAAATTCTGCGATCTTTAACTTAAAATATATTCTTGCCTATTTTCGTTCTTTAAAAATCATGAAAAATTGTTACCTGTCGTCAAGAATTAAAGAAACTCTTATTGAGAGAAAAGTGTTGTTTTTGTTTCATATTGTCAGTTGTTTCTCATTTATGCTCGCTTTTTTGAAAAACAAGGAATGTTCTTTCTTTAAAATACATATTGTTTTCATTTACCTGGTTTTCGGCTGGAGTTTGAAGATAAACCGTCTAATGATTTCTGTCTTCGACATTAATAAGCCATTATCAAAGAATTTTGGAAATTAATATGAGGTTTCATTGTGTATATTTGGTTTGTGAGGATCATGGCTTCGCAGATCAGTTTGAGTTGCCAGTTTTTGTATTGATATATATTTAATGTTTGTTTCAAAATTTAATCATATTTTATTGATTCTGTGTGTATGTTTATGCCCAATACACTCAATTTAAATTCACACTTTAATTTAAATTAAATTATTGATTAAGGACCAATGAAATAAATCAACAATAGAATCTTCCGAAAATATCTTCATTGAAAGACAAATTTCAACAGCTAAACGTAAACTAAACAAACTTTGCTAAGCAATGAATGATAAAAAGGACAAAGTAGAAACTAAAACCAGGATGCAAAAATATAATCAAATAAATTAAAGAAAATAGGCGAAATTATCAAATGGTGAAACTCGTGCATACAAAAAAAAGCTGAGCAAAAATTAAAAACAATAGAAAGTAAAATCTAGTTAGTAAATTATAACAATAATTTATCAAATCTTTCAACTACAAATTGTGATCAAACAACAAAAAACTTTCTCAAATTAAGACCTCATTTACATATCCTCACAAAATATCTAATATAAAAAAATAATGCAAATTAACTTTCTGTAATAAATACTCCAAGAGATACAAACTAAAAGTCAAATACAAATAAAGTGAAAACTATAGATTCTACTAAAAGTTGACAGCATTAAAATTATGCGACTACACAGAAAAAAACTTCACAGTAACCAAACATTAATAAACCCAGTAATAGAACTTTCTCAAAACAAAATCATTATTATTAGACTCGTCAAGAAAAATAAAAACAATGTCTTATGAGATAAAATAGACGAGGAATCTAAACTTAAAAAATCTTAAAGAATAAAGCAAAATTAAAAACTAAAACTACAAGAGAACAAAAACATATTGTCTAGTGTTTAATAAATCTAATTGCCCCGTAAATTTAAATGATGTTTGCTTGTGATTGGGGGAATACGAAGGAACAACGCAGTATCACAGGTTATTGTTTTGAATTATTATTAAACAGTTCTATATATTCTTAGAAAACAAGGAGACAATCTACATTGTCAGTATACGAAGCGGAATATATAGCATTTGTAGCTGCAATGCAAGAAACAAAGTTCTTTATCCAATTATCGAATACCATGACTAGTTCAGATGCAGGTGCGCATCTATTTTGAAAATCAAGGGAATATAGCTTTACCTAAAAATTAAGTTCAACATCAACGCTCAAAACACATTGATATAAAATAGAATTTTAGAAGGACTGAAGTGCAAAATGGTATAATAAAGTTGGACTATATTTCGTCAAAAAAAATGTAGATTTCACAAAGCCTAACACTAGAGTAAAAATAGAGAACATTTTCAATGTTCTGAGCGGAATATAATCCTGGAATTTGTACTTGCCACTTTTTGAGTTTTACCTTTACCCATTTGTAAATAAAAAATATATAAAAATATATATAAAATATTAAAATAAAAATAATGCAAACAAAAATATTGAAATGTATTTCGTTCATATTTATTATCTCCTAAAACTGGGTAAGTGAGAAGGGAATGAGTGCGTTCATTCATTCATTCATTCATTCATTCATTTGAGGCTTGTTACAATCTAGAGAATAGATATTTATTTGTACGATTGTACAAAATGTGGCACAAGACCAAATAGGGGATTGGGGAAAAGGTCTTCTTCTGTCTTAATTCTAAACTTAGCTTGTCACAACACTGACCAAAACATACCAACAATAGTCCTCACACCAAAACAACACATTCTCTTCTACACAATCTAGAGAATAACTACTAAAAAAACTCTTCTCCCCAAATTTATAAATAAATCGTAAAGATGCATGCTGGAAGTTTTCCTGGCCAATAAACAGACAATTCACAGCCTTATTCACATTATATTCTTTCTTTCCTTGAGATAAAAGTCTGTAACCACTTGACTGTATCCCTTTTGCGTGTGAACAGTATTCCTATTGTGTGAACGTTTTACTTTCTTACTGTCTTTAGTTGCATTGCCCTCCATTATATTGTCTTGTCTCGTATTATTTTCCCCGCTCTTCCTCTGTGCGTAATGTATGAAATAATTAAGATATTGAAGAAGCTTTTACCAAAATATGAAATAATGAAAATATTGAAGGAACTTCAAATGTATTTCTTTCATCATACAAATATTGCGAGTTGGAATTCTAAGTCCTCTTAAGTAGGATCCTAATTATTTCGTATTTTATTTTATTGTGATGTGAGTTTTCATCGTGTATTTCAACAGGTGTTTACTGTTAGATCGTTATCAGTGTTGCTGAACATGATAAGAAACGATTGTTTCGATGTCTGTTTCTTCCTCGAAACTGATCTTTATCTCAGACATAAAGAGTAAACTTTATGTGCGATTGAATCCTGTGACAATGGAGCGGGTATGGAATAATTTACCAAACCAAAAAGCTATGAGACGACAATACACCGGCTACATATCCAGGAAAGTTGTCACGGTGATTAATATTAAACAACATATGTGAGTATTTACTTCGAACAGCTTAACCTGACACAAGGCCACAGTATTAGAATAGCTACTGAGAATCGAACTCCGACCTTT